AACGGAGTCTCGCTCTGTCGCCCAGACTGGAGTACAGCGGCACAATCTCAACTCACTGCAACCTCCACCTCCTGGGTTCAAGCCATTCCCCTGCCTCAGCCTTCCAAGTAGCTGGGACTACAGGCACGCGTCACCTTACTCCGCTGATTTTTGTATTTTTAGTAGAGAAGGGGTTTTATGATGTTGGCCAGGCTAGTCTCGAACTCCCGACCCCAGGTGATCCGCCCGTCTCGGCCTCCCAAAGTGCTGGGATTACAGGCGTGAGCCACCGTGCACGGCCGAGGAATCAGTAGCTTTCTAGGTAACTCTCGGGGTCTGAAATCACAGACATTTTTAACTACATTTGCAATTTCAGAAATGATATAAGATGTGCACCTTGCAGAAGCCAATTCAAACAATATAGAAGGGCATAATGTAAAAAGGAAAACTGCCTCTCTCCGCAAGGCCCTGCCCCAGTAGTGTGTATACTTCTGCATATTAGTCTATGCACAAACATTTAAATGCATAGTCTATTTACAAGATTAGGGTCTGCGTGTGGCTTTTTTTCACTCATGGCCTAATTTACACTGTTTTTTAAACTGAGTGGTACAAATGAAGTGAGTGCACCATGATTTAATAATTCTGTTGCTGAATTAATATTTAACCGCTGCTCCAGCTTTTTGCTAATATAATCACTGTAATGAACATACTAATACCTCTATTTTTGTGTACTTTTGTAATTATTAGATTCAAATCCAAGAGTCATCATTTTCCCTCTTTTTTTCCTTTTTTTTTTTTTTTCGAAAAGGAGTCTCACTCTGCCACCCAGGCTGGAGTGCAATGGCGAAATCTCAGCTCACTGCAACCTCCACCTCCTGGGTTCAAGTGATTCTCCTGCCTCAGCCTCCCAGGTAGCTGGGATTACAGGCACCCACTACAACGCTGGGCTAATTTTTGTATTTTTAGTGCAGACGGGGGTTTCACCATGTTGCCCAGGCTGGTCTCGAACTACTGACCTCAGATGATGCGCTTGCCTGGGCCTCGCAAAGTGCTGGGATTACAGGTGTGAACCACTACGCCTGGCCTATTTTTCCTCTTACTGCCCTCTATCCAACGCTTCGAGTTCTGGCATTCTGCTCCAAAATACATTAACCCAATAGCGTCAATTTTTCTCCATCTCCACTGCCACTCTCACCTCGTCTCTTACAATAATAGCCTCTTACAAAGCCTTCTTCTGCTCCCCTCTTGGCACCTTGTAGTCCCTTCGCACAGCAACCAAAGTGATCTTTTCAAATGTAAACCAGTTCTTGTCACTCCTTGCTTGAAGCCCTTCTGTGGCTTCCAAATGTAATGAGAATGAAATCCCATCTCCTCACTGAGGCCTACAAGAATCCACCAACTCACACCTGTAATCCCAGCACTTTGGGAGGCTGAGGCAGGCAGATCACCTGAAGTCGGGAGTTCGAGACTAGCCTGGCCAACATGGAGAAAACTCATCTCTACCAAAAATACACAATTAGCTGGGCATAATGGCGCATGCCTGTAATCCCAGCTACTTAAGAGGCTGAGGCCGGAGAATTGCTTGAATCCGGGAGGTAGAGGTTTTGGTGAGCTGAGATCCCATTGCACTCCAGCCTGGGCAAGAAGAGTGAAACTCCATCTCAAAAAAAAGAATCTACCCAATCTGACCCATACCCACCTCCCTGACCTCAACATATACCACAAGTACCACTTTCCCTCTTTCTTCCTATTCCTGAGCCAAACTAGCCTTCTTTCTATCCGCCAGCAAAGCCAATTCCCACATCAGAAGCTTTGCACATGCTGCTGATTCTACTGGAGATTGTCCTTTGATTCTGTGTAACTGACACTATCTTGCCATGCTGAGAGGGCTTCCTTTTAGGTAGCTCCCACTCCAACCCCCATCAGCCTCCGTCACATTTCCCTGCTTAGAATTCATGTCATTACCAGAAATTTATTTGCTTTTATTTATTAACTTTCTCTTTTGTCTAAAATACAAACTCCATGAAAGGGCTCTTGTCTTCTACACTATGCTATTCCCATCACCTGGAAGAGTACCTGGTGCTGAAAAATTATTTCCCCTGGCTGGAGTGCAGTGGCACAATCACAGCTCACTGCAGCCTTGACCTCCCAACTCAAGCGATCCTCCTACCTCAGTCTGCCTAGTACCTGGGACTCTAGGCACTAGCCAACCATACTTAGCTCATTTTTAGGGTGTGTGTGTTTTGTTTTTGTTTTTTGAGACAGTGTCTTGCTCTGTCGCCAGGCACCAGGCTGGAGTGCAGTGGCGCGATCTCGACTCACTGCAATCTCTGCCTCCTGGGTTCAAGCAAGTATCCTGCCTCAACCTCCCGAGTAGCTGGGACTACAGGCGCATACTACCACGCCCAGCTAATTTTTGTATTTTTTAGTAGAGATAGGGTTTCACCATGTTGGCCAGGATGGTCTCGATCTCTTGGCCTCGTGATCCACCTGCCTCGGCCTCCCAAAGTGCTGGGATTACAGGTGTGAGCTACCGTGCCCGGCCTGTTTTTGTTTTTTTGAGATGGAGTTTCGCTATTGTCCCCCAGGCTGGAGTGCAATGGCACCATCTCAGCTCACTGCAACCTCCACCTCCCAGGTTCAAGTGATTCTCCTGCCTCAGCCTGCCAAATAGCTGGGATTATAGGCTAAATGTCATCATCTTGGCCAGGCTGGTCTCAAACTCCTGACCTCAAGTGATCCGCCTGCCTCGGCCTCCGAAAGTACTGAGACTGTGGGTGTGAGCCACCGCACCCAGCCCCTTCTGCTTTAAAAACCACTACCAGAGAAATAAAAATAAAAAAATTAAAACCACTACCGGTCCCATGTGTCCTGCAGGGCCCTCAATCTCACCCCTTCATCTGCTATACAAAATCCCCCACAGCCTGTTCCAGGCTTCTTCACCAACACTTCACAACAGGATATGCCTTGTCTTTCTCTTTGGAATGGTTTTTCTCAACTTCTGCCCATCCTTCAGAAACACTGTCCTCAAATGTTCTCCACTCAAGACAGCCTGCACTCCCTCCACCCCCGCCCTGGCCAAGCACTTAGCTGCTGTGTCTTCTGACTCAGACCTCTGTAATAGCATTTCTGGGATCATAATACCTGTGTATGTGTCTCCTCAACTATTCTAGGAAGGCAGGGGCCATGGTAATTCATATGTGTCCCCATCAATTGGCATAGTAAATAGCAAAAAATAGGCATGGATGGCCGGGCGCGGTGGCTCATGCCTGTAATCCCAGCACTTTGGGAGGCCGAGGTGGGTGGACCACGAAGTCAGGAATTCAAGACCACCCTGGCCAAGATGGTGAAACCCCGACTTTACCAAAAATACAAAAATTAGCCTAGCGTGGTGGCGAGCGCCTGTAATCACAGCTACTCGGGAGGCTGAGACAGAAGAATCGCTTCAACACCGGAGGCGGAGGTTGCAGTGAGCCGAGATCGTGCCACTGCACTCTAGCCTGGGCGACAAGAACAAAACTTGGTCTCAAATAAAAGAAAAATAAAAATAGGCATGGATGGATGGGTTGATAGATGGATGGATGGGAGCGAGTGAGTGGATGTTACCTGGGATGGCTGGCTGAAGGTGATGGATAGAGAAACTGAAAAAGTGAACCCTGCAAAGATCAAATGTAGACATCAGAGGGAGCTGACACACTGCAGTAAAGAAGCGGGAGGGCGGGCCACAGAAAGCGGCACGCTCCGAGGCGAGCAGACGAGCGGCGCGCACTGAAGCAAGCATCGCGCAACTGAACCGCTCACCCACGTGTGCATCCCCTCATCCTACTTCCCAGACGGCGCTCCAGCTCATTCCACCGCCCCCAACATCCCCGTCGCCCCCATCGCCACAGAGAAAGCAAACCAAGGGGAGGAGACCCCTGCAGGTTTTGGATGCCCGGGGCCAATTGAAAGATTTCGATCCCCTGGAAGGCGGGTGTATTGGTTTAAGGGGGTCCAATCGGTTTCCAAGGGGTTGCGGTGGGGCGGGGAGATGTGCGGGAAGGGCGGGAGCGGGCCCCGCGCGCGGGGGAGGGCTCCCCGGCTGGGAAGCAGCGCGAAAGGCTGGGGGCGGAGCCAATGGGCGCGGGTGTCTGCCAGGAGAGGGCTGGCTGCGCCGCGGCGCGCGCGATCCGGCTGACGCATCTGGCCCCGGTTCCCCCGGACCAGAGCCGGGCCCGGAGGGAGGGGAAGAGGCGAGAGCGCGGAGGGCGCGCGTGCGCAGTGGTGCGGGGAGGAGCAGGGATCTTGGCAGCGGACTAGGAGGCTGCGAGCCAGCCGCGAACCGAGCGGGCGGCGGGCGCGCGCACCATGGGGGAGAAACCCGGCACCAGGTAAGGGAGGTGGGGCCACGCGGCGGGGCATGGGCGGTGGCTCGGGGCGGGGGCTGGTACGGTCCCAGACGAGGACACAGCGGAGAGGATCTGGGGGCCGGACGCCTGGGTCCCTAGGGGCAGCCATCCGGGTCCGCACGCGCAGGTCTTCGAGGATAATGGTGGGGGGGGGAAATGCCCGGGCCCCTGTAGAAAGCGAGGCTTGAGGAGGATGAGAAAACCGGTGTCGGGGTTCTCGCAGGGATGTGGGGCCGGACTACTGGGCTCTCCCGTGCAGGCTGCGTTGCAGGGACAGAGGAAGGAGGAGCAGGTGGCTGGCCCCGAGGGGTCGTGTACTGGAGGCTGGATGCCGGGAGGGGGAATCCCCTCTAGACTCGTGCCAAGCCAATGGAAAGCCTCCAGTCCAATACCCCCCCAGGCAGTTGCGCTGACCACACCTGTCCCGAGGGCCGAGTGGCTCCTCATCCAAACTTCTACCTTCCCCTGGATTGCCAGGAGCAACAGCTTCATCTTGGGGGAGCCGCGTGTGTGGCGACCCTCCCTGAAACTAGATCGTATCCCTCACCCTGTGGGTGGGGGAGGCAGTATTCACCCTGGGCCCGCGTCCACTCCCCGGATGTTTTCTGTGCAATCGAGGCTCTTTCCTTCCACTGACACCCCGAGTTCTCTTTTTTGGTCTCTAGCAAAATCCACTTCCTGTTGTGACTTAACACCCCCAAGGGGCAAGGGGTGAATGCCTGAGTCCCAGGGGAGCAGGAGCAAAAGGCGAAAAGGTTGGGGCTGTAGGCCTCAACCCAGAGGGGCTCAGGAATGGGGAATTGGTCCTGAGCTGTCGCTTGCTCTGCAAAACATCATATCAACCCCACTTCCAACCTATGGAGTATGAGAACCTGGATTTCTGTGCATCAAGTAAACGAGTATCAGAAAGAGATGATCAGAGAAATAATCGGTGTCCTGGATTAGGGTTTAAACACCCCAGAGAAAGGGGAAGTTGCTGACTTGTGGGAGGCCCCAGATTTCCGTTATGTGGTTCAGGGAGTGGGACAGATGGACCAAAGGGGACTGCTGATTTGGCACAATTTCCTGCACCCCAATCAAATTCTGGGCCACAGGAAACAGAAGAGCAGGAAGTGTGAAAGGACATCTGCTTCAGCTACCCCCTGCCCCCCACTGGGCACCTCCCTGGTCATCCCCACGCGCTCCCTCCTTGTCCAGCCTAGTATATGCATGCTGCTCCTCTCCAGCCTGACAGAAGGTGGCTGGGTTAGGATCCAAAGGGCAGGTGCCTTGCAGCTGCTCCAGGGCAGTTGCCCCAGAGCCACACTCCAGTGGACCAACTGATTGTGGCTGTCACAGCCCTGTGCCAGGGCTCCTAATGTGAGGACACTCTGGGACAAAGGAAAACCAGAAGCAAAGAGGCGGGAGAACCTGGATGATGCCACGGCACTAAGCCCCCAAGCTGGAACAAAAGATAGGGTGTTTATTCTAGATCCCGCCATATTGATGTTTATTCTCCTTTATTGGTTGGGAATACTTGGGGGCCTCCATACCCTTTGCCTTACAAGCTTTGGACAACTTGGCATTCTGGGAAGAAGGGGCAAGTGAAGTTGTAGCAGAAACTGGGCTTATGGTAGAAACCACTTTAGGGCCAAAGGCCAGGGTCATTGCTCTCCTATATGCTCCAGCTGTCAGAGCCGGAGACCAGATGGGAAGATGGTTAGGCCTTACTCAGACACTTCAGCAGCCTACCCATTCGGGTCCTCTGGGAATGGGGTGGTGGAGTTGGAGGAGGGATGGGCTAGTTAGCAGGATTTAACTTTCTACTATCTGAGGACCTTTTCCTATCGCTGCTGAGGCAGAATAGATTGGAAGGAGCAAGGTGGTGCTTCAAAGAACAGGCCACAATTGACTGGGGTTGCCAAACCCTTCCTTACCAGCCATGGGTAGAATCCAGGCTGAAGCTGTTTCAGCAACTGGAAAGCGAATACTCTTCAATTCAGCAAACTATTAATGCCAACTGCAGAGACCGATAGTGTAATATTTATTGAGAGGATGGACTTGGAGTCAGACTGCCTTGGTTTATATGAATTCCCACCATTTACTCTCTCTGTGACCTTAAACAAAACACTTGGCCTCTCTCTGCCTCAGTTTCCTCACTTATAAAATAGAGATATTAGGACCTCCATCACTGGGTTGTTTTATTTATTTTTATTTAATTAATTTATTTATTTTGGAGACAGAGTTTTGCTCTTCGCCCAGGCTGGAGTGCAATGGAACAATCTCGGCTCACTGCAACCTCTGCCTCCCAGGTTCAAGCAGTTCTCTTGCCTCAGCCTCCCAAGAAGCTGGGATTACAGGCACGCACCACCACGCCCAGCTAAGTTTTGTATTTTTAGTAGAGACGGGATTTCCCCATGTTGGGAAGGCTGATCTGGATCTCCTGACCTCAAGTGATCTGCCCACCTCAGCCCCCCAAAGTGCTGGGATTACAGGCGTCAGTCACTGCTCCCAGCCTTCTTTTAGTACGCTTAACAACCCACTGGGCCAGGTGTGGTGGTAATCCCAGCACTTTGGGAGGCCAAGGCAAGCGGATCACCTGAGGTCAGGAATTGGAGATCAGCTTGGCTAACATGGGGAAACCCCGTGTCTACTTAAAAAATACAAAATATAGGGCAGATGTGGTGGCTTAAGCCTGTAATCCCAGACTTTTGGAAGGCCAAGGCGGTGGATCACTTGAGGTCAGGAGTTCGAGATCAGCCTGGCCAATATGGAGAAACCCCGTCTCTACTAAAAATACAAAAATTAGCTGGGCATGATGGCAGGCACCTGTAATTCCAGCTACTCGGGAGGCTGAGGCACGAGTATTGCTTGAACCTGGAAGGTGGAGGTTGCAGTGAGCCAAGAGTATGCCACTGCACTCCAGCCTGGGCAATAGAGTGAGACTCTGTCTCAAAAAAAAAAAAAATACAAAATATAGCAGGGCGTGGTGGCTCATGCCTGTAATCCCAACTACATGGGAGGCTGAAGCAGGAGAATCTCTTGAACCCCAGGGGGGTGCGGAGGTTGCAGTGAGTGGAGATTGCATCGCTGCACTCCAGCCTGGGCGACAGAGTGAGACTCTGTCTCAAAAGATTATTAAAAGAGATAACACGTTTGAAACACTTGGAACAGTGCTGGGCATGGAGTATCCACCCTGTAATGTTAGCCAGCATTATCATCATCATCACATGGCTAGCAGTGTGCTGGAGATGCCTGAATGAATAAGGCCTCTAAGGCTCACAGTCTGAGGAGGGAGGCAGCTAACTGCGCTTGTGTCCTGCCATACCACAAGTAAAACGTAAATGAACTGTGCCAGGAACCCAAAACAAGGAGTGACCAGTGTCTGTGCTGGGTCAGCTTCCTAAAGGCTGGACCTTAAAAGACAAAGAGGCTTTTAAGCTGCTACGGTCGGAGATGAGGACAGTTGGAGGTGAATGGATAGAGTCGAACTTGCCTAGGGCCTATGGTAGAAACCATTTGAGGGTCAAAGGCCAGGGTCATTGCTCTCTTATATGCTCCAGCTGTTGGAGCTATAGACCCGATGGAAGGATGGTTAGGTCTTACCCAGATGCTGCGGCAACCTGCCCATTCAGGTGTTCTGGGAAGAGCCTGGGTGGTTCCTAGGGTAACCAGTGGCCATTACTAGGGAGGGAAGGGGACTAAGGAGGGTGGACAAGAGAAGGGGCATTTTCCCTTGCCGTCATGTTAGAAATAGGAAGGACTTTCCAGGAGGAGGTGGAAAGGGGCAGAGCTGGGCAAAGCCCTGCAGCCTCAGGGAGGAGTCCTGGGTGAGCTCTGTTTCCCAGGCCTGGGAGGGACAGGGTCCTGGTGTGGGGTCCCTGCTGAGTCTGAGGGAAGCAGTGGGGTTTCCCTTTCTGTTTTGTTAGGGTCTTCAAGAAGTCGAGCCCTAACTGCAAGGTGAGTCTCCATGGCACTTACCCTTTCACCCTCCCTGGGCCCCAACAAAGTCCAGCCTTCCCCTAAACGATTGCCAGCCTGCCCCAAGATGATCCCCAACCCCTAGCTCCCCACTTCCTGTGACAGCTAAGAGCCGACTTCCTTCCCTCCTAAAGCCCCTTGCCACAGAGGCTGCTCAGCCTGAGCCAGCCACAGGGCTGGGTGGGGCAGACCCGGGTCCCCAAGCAAGACCACAGAGGAGGAGGTCAGAAGCAAGCCATGTGCCTACAGCCCTCCTAGGGTCCAACCCAAGGTGTGCTGGGCTGGGAAGAGTTGACAGCCCCCACCCAGGCTGTGGCCTGCTTATCCTAGAGCCCCTTGAGGGGACCTAGTGAGGGTGGCAGCTGCTCTCTAGCTGGCTGGTTGGGCTGAGTTCTCCCTGAGGATCCAAACACACGCACGTGCACACACACACACACACACACACACGTACCTGGCTGGTTGGGCTGAATCCTCCCTGAGAATCCAAACACACACACATGACACACACATACTCACAGACTGCACATGCATAACACACACACACACACACACACACACACCCTAGCGGGCAGAGTCCTCCCTGAGGATGCAAATACACATACACATCTGGCTGGTTGGGCTAAGGACACACACACACACCCCTGGCTGGTGGGCAGTGGTGTGCAGAGATTAGGAAGCAGCTAAAAAGCCTAAAGGTCTGCTAGCCTGAGAAATGCCACCACCCTCCTTTTTAACACTACTGGGAAGAAACCTGGAGAAACTCTTTCCCTGTAGCCCAGCCTGGGGATCCTGGGGCAGGGCAGTATTGAGGGCTCTGATGCCCTGGCACCATCCTCCCCAATCTTCTTCTGACCCCTTGACATCCTCAGCTGACCGTGTACTTGGGCAAGCGGGACTTCGTAGATCACCTGGACAAAGTGGACCCTGTAGGTAAGTTTCCCAGAAAGGGACAGCTCATTCCCCAAGGGGAGAAGAAGTTCCCAGGCCCAGGAAATGGGGGAGCTGCCCTTTCAGGAAGTGAGCTGGTGTGTCCCCCTCCTAGATGGCGTGGTGCTTGTGGACCCTGACTACCTGAAGGACCGCAAAGGTACTGGCCCAAGTCCAGGGGACCCAGGGGAAGTAGAGGGTAAGGAAGTGAAATGGGCTGGCACTGGAAGGGTGCCCAGAGAGATGGAGGCTGGAGGCAGAAGCCAGGAATAGGATTTGGGCAAGTCTCATGCTGCAGAGGGAGGGGCCTTGCTGCTAGGTACCCGGGGACTGGGGAAAGGAGGTCCTGACCACTCATCTTGCCCTCCCTTGCCAGTGTTTGTGACCCTCACCTGCGCCTTCCGCTATGGCCGAGAAGACTTGGATGTCCTGGGCTTGTCGTTCCGCAAAGACCTGTTCATTGCCACCTACCAGGCCTTCCCCCCAGTGCCCAACCTGCCCCGGCCCCCCACACGCCTGCAGGACCGGCTGCTGAGGAAGCTGGGCCAGCATGCCCACCCCTTCTTCTTCACAGTGAGGATGCCCCCTGTCCTCTGAGGGCAAGGGGTCTAGGACTGTGTCTGGGGGGGGGGTAAGGCACCCGTTATGGGCAGATCTGGAAAAAACAGTGAGGCAGGGACCCTGGATCCACCCCCCTTCGGGGTCCCAGTGCATTCAGGAAGCCCTAGATTCTCTGCCTCCTCTCTAGGGCCCCTTCCTTCTTCCTTTCTCTTCCCCAAGAGTCCTTTCTCCAGCCTCTTAAGTTGCGATGTGGAGGAAGATCTGGGGACTTTCTGGAAGAACTGAAGTCTTCCCTTTCCTCTGCCACAGATACCCCAGAATCTGCCATGCTCTGTCACACTGCAGCCAGGACCAGAGGATACAGGGAAGGTATGGGAGGAACAGCCCTGAGGGCTCCTAGGGCAGGACGGGGCCAGCAGGAGCCTGGAGGCACCGCTGAGCCAGAGGGTAAACTGTTGGGATGCCAGGGTGGGGCCAAGGTCAGCCAGTGTCCCCCATGGAAGCAGGGTGTGTATGATGTGGTGACTGTGCATGCGTGACACTGCCTCCTGCTCTCTGGACCTGCGTGGATCTGGGGATGGGGGCTCCCCTTGCACGACCATGACCCAGTCCCCATGGTCGTCAGACCACAATGGCAGAAGAGCCCTTGCCCAAGTGGAGGGAAGGGAGAGGAAGGAAGGGGAGCGATGCTGGTGGGAGCCCTGGGTGAGATGTGGCCTTTTCTTCTCCCCCTCCCGAGGCCTGCGGCGTAGACTTTGAGATTCGAGCCTTCTGTGCTAAATCACTAGAAGAGAAAAGCCACAAAAGGTGAGGGAAGCAACCTCCTCTGTGGCATAGAGGGGAGTTTCCTCCCGGCTTCCAGGAGCCCAGGCCCCGTGGGAGGCAGGAGGAGTGGTCTGGGTGTGTGAGGACTGACCCCCTCCTGCCCCCACCCCGTCTCAGGAACTCTGTGCGGCTGGTGATCCGAAAGGTGCAGTTCGCCCCGGAGAAACCCGGCCCCCAGCCTTCAGCTGAAACCACACGCCACTTCCTCATGTCTGACCGGTCCCTGCACCTCGAGGCATCCCTGGACAAGGAGGTGGGGTGTGAGAGGGTGACGCAGATGCCACGGTGCAGTCTAGACCCTGGGGGAGGGGTGAAGCCACATGTCAGGATGACATTTGTAAAGGAGGTTGCCTTGGCTGGGTGTGGAGAGCTGCTGTGGGCTTGGGTTTGAGGGGAGGGGGCCAGAACAATGTGTCTGTGTTTGGGGACACACTGATGATAGGACCAATTCACATGACCCCCTCCCCCCAAAAGCTGTACTACCATGGGGAGCCCCTCAATGTAAATGTCCACGTCACCAACAACTCCACCAAGACCGTCAAGAAGATCAAAGTCTCTGGTAGGAGGTGGGGTTTGGAAGGGGGTCTTCGGGGAGGGAGTTCTGTAAGGTGGCTCCTGGTTTGATCTCGACCCAGGCCATTTCCTAGTGCGGGAGACCCACCAGGGCTCAAATTTAAGTTGTTCCAGAATGATACCGGGAGCCTCGGTGTTTACTGCTTCGGGAGGAGCATGGGGGGGCCCACACCACGGGGTCTGGAGTTGTGGTGTGGTGGCCTGTACTCCATCCAGAGCTTCCTGACCCTGCCCCACCCCACAGTGAGACAGTACGCCGACATCTGCCTCTTCAGCACCGCCCAGTACAAGTGTCCTGTGGCTCAGCTCGAACAAGAGTGAGTATCTGGAGAGACCCGGGCCCTGATCTAGGGGAGAAGAGCAGGATCAGGAGAAAGTGAGGTGGGGGGAGAATCCTTCCTGAGCCATCCCCACTTCTTTCTGTTTTTTTTTGGAGACAGAGTTTTTGCTCTTGTTGCAATGGCTCAATCTCTGCTCACTGCAACCTCCACCTCTCAGGTTCAAGCGATTCTCCTGCCTGAGCCTCCCAAGTAGCTGGGATTACAGGCACTCACCACCATGCCTGGCTTTTTTTTTTTTATTTATTTGTTTGTTTGTTTTCTTTCTTTCTCACTCTCCTCCCTCCTTCCCTCCCTTCCTCCTTTTTATTTGGTAGAAAAGGGGGTCTCAC